GCACTCCAGTCTGGGCGACAGAGTGAGACTCCAACTCAAAAAAAAAAAAAAGGCAAATATGATTGTGATTTGTCTGAGCTTAAAATACTTCCATGCCTCTCCCATTGCCCTCATTAAAAAAAAAAAAGAGTCTAGATGCTCTTAATATGACCTACAATGACAATTAAGATCTGGCCCCTGCTTACCATCATCACTCCCCTCGTCCCATACCCTATGCTCTAGCTAGTCTTAATTATCTGAGGTTTCCTCATCTGGTCACTCCCTTGTCTCCAGATTTCCACACACACACCGTTGATGCTTCCTCCCTGCTTCACCTAGCTAATTCCTCTCACTTTTACTTATCAGCTTAGAGTTCACTTTGTTCAGGAAGCATCTGCTGACCCATCACAGTCTACAATAATGTGTACTACAGCAGTGCCAACTCCACCCATCATAAACTTTATTACATGATGATGTAATGACTGATTTTTCTGTAGTCTCCCTCACAACATAGATAATAAGCTCCATGAGTACAAGAACTATAACGGTTGTTCACTAAACTTCAGTATTAAAACACTAGCAAAAAAGTGAAGGCTCATTAACTATTTGGGCTGCACCTATTCTAGGAATTATGGGCGTCACTTAAGATTTTTAAACCAAGCCACTTTCTTGACTATCAGATATTGGTTTTGCAAAAATTAGATGTACATTCACAGATGATTTTCAGAATTTTGGAATTTTACAACAGAGTTTTAGAGAGGCAGAATAGCAATTGAGCACACAGACCCCCAGGAGCCAGAATGCCTGGGTTCAAATCCTAACTGCCATTTACCAGCAATGTATCCTCCAACAAGTTACCACCTCGTTTGCTGTGTTTGTTTCCTCATTTGCAAAATGTGGTCAACAATACCTATTTCATAGGGTTATTATGAGTGTTGAAGGAGGTAATAATGCATAATAAGTTGCATATACAAAGTGCTATTTAAATGTCATTGCAAGGAATCCAATATTACTGCAATGCTGAGTAAAACGTTATAGAAAGGCTTGGTAGGCCCCACTAAATGAAATTCACAGCTTCAAATACCACTCTAAACGAACAGCAAACATTATTAAATTTCCACAGCACTTTTAATACAATAGTTTACATGTAAATAAAATACATTTTAAAGGCCTCTGGGAAATCAGTCAAGTAACTTAAACCTGGAAGAAATTAATACAGCATAGTAAATCCAGAAAGAACATTCGGGATTGTGAATAGCCCCACACTGGAGCACGTTGCTTCCTTTCAACCCACCAAAATTAAAAAAAAAAAAAATCAGGATTGTTCACTCCAGCACATTTTTTAAAAGGGCTATTCTAACGTCCAGAAGAGTAACTGGTTTCCATCTTTACTAATCCTGGAATCGGTTCTATCTCAGTCAGAAGTATCCGATTTTAGGCCGAGAAAGGCGAACCCCCAGCTCTCCTCCTGATACAGCATTTGGTGCAACTGCGGAAACCATATGACAGATGACAAAGCAGATGGCCAAGCCCTCTGAGGGCAGCACTCTGAGACCCATTCACTTCTTTTCTAAATAAACTCCAGATCGCTCTCTCCCCCACCCCCGCCGCATCTCCCCGTGGTCTTGAAACCTTGAGTTCCGAGCGCCGCACGGGAGGCCGGTGTGGGGCAATCGGGGCCTTCTGTGTGCCGCAGCCCAGGATCCCGAGGCGTCAGGGCTGCTCCCGGGCCCGCGACGCCCCTCGGGCCCCGGAAGCCCACCGCGGCTCTGCACACGGAGGGGGCTCCTCGCTGTCCTTTCCGTGGCGGCCCGCGCGGGCGTCTCCACGGCCGGAGAAGACCGCAGGCCGACGGTCAGCAAAAAGAAGCCCCGCGGCCGCGTCTCTCACCTCCGCCGCCTCCTCTTCTCCGGGATCCAGGCTATCCAGGCTCCAGCCCATGGACGCCGTCACCTCTTCCAGGGTCCGGAAGCAGCTATCCACGAACTCGCTCAGCTCCTCCTGCAGCCGCCGCCGCTCCTCCGGCGGAGGAGCTTCGCCCTCCATGGCCTCAGCCCCCCGCCGTGAGGAAGCGCCGGAACTGTCTCCAGCGCGCTCGGGTCTCTGGGAGCTGTGGGCGGGGCCGTGCCCCCACGTGACTGGGACAGCCTATCAGGAAGAGCCCACAGAAGGGCGGGCGCTGTCGTTTTGGAAGGCGTTTTACGATCTCTGCCAGACGCCTGCTTAGACGCCTGCTCAACCCTTGAGTGTATTTGCACTGGCCTTCCCGGAAAGTTGCTGATTCCCCGTCCTCTTCAATTTATGTAGTAAAAATGGCTTATATCTACAGAAAAGTGGGGTTAGAATAGTGCAGTGAGGTCGGGCGCAGTGGCTCACGCCTATAATCCTAGCACTCTGGGAGGCTGAGGCGGGAGAATAATTGGAGTCCAGGAGTTCAAGACCAGCCTGGGCAATAACGTGAGCCCTCACCTATACCCCCACTCCAAAATCAAAAGATTAGCCAGGCGTGATGATGCACGCCTGTAGTCCTAGCTACTGGGGTGGGGGGTGGGGGGCTGAGGCAGAAGGATTGCCTGAGCCCAGGAGGTCGAGGCTGCAGTGAGCTGTGAGCGTGCAAAAAAAAAAAAACAAAACAGTGATAGTTCGTTTAGCACTCTCCAGCTCATTGTTAACATTTTGCCACGTTTGCTTTCTCTCCGTCTCTCCTCTCCACCTTCACAGCCCCACACATTTATTTTTACTGAATTCTTTGAAAGTAAGTTGCAGATTCTTCACCCCCAAATATGTTAGTTAGCATGAATGTCCTAAGAGAAAGAACATTTTTAGCTGGGCTCGGTGGCTCAGCCTATAATCCCGCGCCTTGGGAGGCTGAGGTGAGTGAATTGCCTGAGCCCGTGGGTTAGAGACCCGCCTGGGCAACTTGGTGAGCCCTCATCTCTACAATAAAACAAAAACAAACAAACAAAAAACTATCCGGGTGTGGTAGCACGCGCCTGTGGTTCCAGCTACTTGGAAGGCTGAAGCGGAAGGACTGCCGGAGCCCAGCAGGTCGAGGCTGAGGTGGCCAGGAACGGCCACTGCACTCTAGTCTGGGGGACAGAGTGAGACTCCAACTCAAAAAAGAAAAAGAACATTTTGCTACCTAGCCACAATACATGATCAAACCTTAGAAAATTAATAATTTCATAAAATCATTTAATATACAGTTCATGTTTCTTTTATAGCAGTTTAACTTTTTAACCCATGTGCTATAATTGGTTGTCTGTGTTGGTCTACAGTTTCCCCCACCTTTTAAAAATTAAAACATTAAACTTTGTGATGGACTTAGGACAGTTGTTTTGTAGAATGTCCCTCATTTTAGATTTGTCTGAGTTTTTTTCCCATCATGATTAGATTCAGTTGAGCATTTTTGCAAGAATACAACATAGGAGATGTTGTGTACCTCTCCTTACAAACCATATCTTAGATTCTCCTATTAGTGATGCTAAATTTGGTCACTTGGTAAAGGTGGTGACTGTGTCTAACTTTTCTAATAGTACATTTTTCTCTTGGTATTTGGTAAGCCATCTATCGTATTATATCTTGAGGCCATAAGAATATCCTGTTCCCAAACTATTAATAGCTTATACACTCCTTCACCATTATCTGTTGTTACATTAGAAGTTATAAGTGATGATTCTCCAATAGTATCACACTTTCTACATTTATTAACTTCACTGGTGTTCTTTCCAGTTTGTTGTTTCCATTTTGTTGTTTGTTTCACTATGAAATCATGTGGTTTTAAAAATTACTGGTGTGATTTCAATTCAGTGTCATATACTCTATTAACCTTACAATTCTTGTTGGTGCTCAAATTATTCTACATTTGGCCAGTGGAAGCCACATTAATTCACCCCATGTCTTTTTGGCATATCCCCATTAGTCTTTGAGTATTTTATTGCTTTAATATTCCAAATATAGGCTGGGCGCAGTGGCTCACACTTGTAATCTCAGTGTTTTGGGAGGCTGAAGCAGAATTGATTGAGTCCAGGAATTCAAGACTAGCCTGGGCAACCTCGTCTCTACAAAAAAATAAAACAGCTAGCTGGGTGTGGGGACTCACGGTTGTAGTCCCAGCTCCTGGTGAGGCTGAGGTCACCCAGGAAGCCCAGAGGGTCAAGACCATAGAGAGCCGAGATCGTGCCACTTCACTGCAGCCTGGGTGGCAGAGTGAGACTCTGACTCAAAAAACAAAACAAAGCAAAACCTGGCCATTGCCTTACTAGACTGTGGTGTGGTCATGTGCTCTTTGAGCTATGTCCGTCGCCATGTTCCCTGGCTTTGGCCCCCTTCTCTACCCTGGGGAGGCGAATCTCTTCATTCTCTAATTTACTTTTTGTCATTTTGTTTTATCTCTAATTTACTTTTTAAATAAACTATATTTTCTAATCTAAAAACAAACACTGCCGGGCTCGGTGGCTCAGCCTGTAATCCCGCGCCTTTGGGAGGCTGAGGTGAGTGGATTGCCTGAGCCCGCGGGTTCGAGACCCACCTGGGCAGCGAGACCTCATCTCTACAATAAATCAAAAAAAAATCAGCCGGGCGTGGTAGTGCATGCCTGTAATTCCAGCTACTTGGAAGGCTGAGGCGGAAGGATCGCGGAGCCCAGCAGATTGAGGCTGTGGTGGCCGGGAGCGGCCACTGCACTCCAGTCTGGGCGACAGAGTGAGACTCCAACTCAAAAAATAAAAAAAAAAGATAAAAAATAAAAATAAAAACAAACACTAAAAAACAAAACACAAATATACTTTGTATGTTTTCTACCCAAAATCTGGTTATCAGCCTTTTTAGTTTTCCAAATGGTTTTAACTCCCAGAATCTAATCCCTTTTCTTTTTTTTTTTTTTTTTTGAGTTGGGAGTCTTGCTCTGTCACCCAGACTGGAGTGCAGTGGCCGCTTCCGGCCACCGCAGCCTCAACCTGCTGGGCTCTGGCGATCCTTCTGCCTTAGCCTTCCAAGT